CTAAAAATACTATTAAGGTCTCGTAAACTAAGCAACAATGCTCACAATCAGAAAAATTAACGAAAGAATATTCTTTTGATACGGATTTTCAAATATTGCCGTTCATCTTATAATAGCGAAGTTGTAAGAATCAAGGTGATCTTTTTCACTCTGCTTTCAAATATAGTTGTCAAAAAATTCCTAACTTTACTTGTTTTTGAGATATTGGTGGAGAACCTTTTCACCAGCGGTCCTTTAAGCCTTGCTCTACCCTATGTTTAAATATGTTTTCTAATAGAGTTTATATCGACTTTTTTCATCTATCAGAATCCTAGCAAGAATCATGTATTAATGTACTATCATACTGAAACAACATCATAGTAATGACAATATTAAAAGAATCCGATGGAAGTCTCAAATTCGATAGCGCAATAAGTTTCCGTAATAATTAATGGCATCGAAAGGTACAATTCAAATAAACTGTCCGATTATAATCTCATAAATCGCGTCAATAATGTAATTAATAACGTTCGTGGCGAGGAATTACGTAGGGAATGGTTTAAAGGCCTCCCGAGCATGTGAACGGATTTGTTTTTATTCGGGCAACGCGATACGCGCACTTACTGTGCTATAAAGCACAATAACTCTTGTGCTCCGAGTATTTATCAAGTTGATGTTTATTGGCCTCTTTACCGGTAATAATTAGTCAGGCGGACGCTTCGAAAAATTACAGGTTTTGCGATCCTTTTGAAGAATGGCCAACGGTTCTGGCTAATTGGCTTAATTCTGTTTGACCAGAAATCTTTGAATGCAAACAGTCTCTGATGAAAAATTACACTATTATTATACAATTATTTCAATACATATTATGTTAATTTAGTTCACTGCCACTTAAATACTTGGACCTTGCATTTAATGTACGAGAAAATCGTCGGGTCACGAATGGATCATTCAACGAGTGCCTGTATGATTTTATAAATATATATTGTAGTGGTATTCACCCTTTACAATAATTATAAATAATATTATAAATTCGATATAACAGTCAATATGAAAGACGCATTACGTTGCTGACTCACAGCTCATAGATTGTATTAGAGATAAGCAACATTGTATGCAAGCCTGTAACGGTCTATAACCACAAACTACATCTAAAGTAAACAAGTATGAATCATTGTAACGTAATTTTCTAGAAGGATGATTACGTCATCATCAGAGATTATAAAAAGCCTGAAGACGATGGAATGAGTGTTCATTCTTGACTAAGACGCCAAACAGTTCACATCACTTTTATCAATTGTGTATTAAGTGTAACCAAGTAATGAAGTAAATAAAAATTAATAAATGTCTTCAGAAGTTTAATTAAATATTCCACAGTAAAAAGCTTAGGATAGCAGCAGAAGAACCTAATTTTAATTGTTGACATCGTTGGTGACGCAACATAATTGTTGGCGACGGATCCACAACATAATTTGTTGACAGCCCAGGGTGCACAACAATATTTATTCCGTAAATAAAAAATTCATTTATTATATAGAGTAGAACGTGGCTTAAAAGTCCGCGGGTAAAAAAGTCCACCATCGATATCTCAAAAAGCAGTTGAAGTTAAGTTTTTTAACTACGATATTTTAAAGTAGAGGAAAAAGATGTATAACCAGCCATCAATAGACAGATAGTTGTATAACCTTAATTCTTACGACGTTTATATCGGGAGATAAACGGCAATGTTTGAAAATCCAAAACAAAAATATTTTCTTTTGTTAGTTTTTTTGGGCATGAGCACTGTTGTTTAGTTTATGACACCTTAAAATAATTTTTGAGTATACGTTATTTATTGTTTTATGAAATGTATTGTTAATTTTAAGTTAGATTCAATCGTTTTTTATATAACTTCTACAAAAGCTTACATCTGGGTGAGGTGAAAAAGACCAACTGAACCTTCACCCTAGCAAAAGTGTGAAAAATAAAAAGTAGCAAATAAAGAAGTAAATTAAGTTAAAATAAGCAATTTTATAAGAGATAAATAAAATAAATAGTTATTCCAACTCTACTGATAAATATTTCTGACAAAATACCAGATCAAGGTTATTTACAGTGTTATCTCAATAAACAATGCACCCATGAAATTTAATTTTTGCATTTGCTGAATAATGTAGTTATTATTTTGTAAAATCCCTTCAAAATTAAATTACAACATTGAACCTGTTTAACTCCTGGCCGTCCTAATTTACTCTCTAAGTTACAAATTTTTGAAAAACAGCAAAAAACACATTTCTACAATAATGAATTAGCTGGGATTCTTACCGAACAAAGTCAGATAGTTGAATGTTTAGTGCCTGTTATTGGTTTTCATGATATAATTACATAAAGTTAATTTGACCTTTGTGCCCCGCCCAACCCTGTTTGTTTCACGATTGTCATCAATTGTAGTACTAGAAATGCTATTCACGGTAACGGTTCCAAAATTTAGATGAACAAAAGTAATGAAAATCAACTTTTTGTATTAAGCAATCCATAATCTCTTATACGAGGCACCCCTGTCAGACTGAGATATGGAAATGTATATATTGCTAAATAAATAAATAATAATAATAAAAAAACTACAATAGCCGAAAAATAGTAACAATTTCACGAAAGCTCTAGGTTGCATTAAAAGCTCATATTTTCCAAACAACGTGACATTTTTTTTTCATATATTTTTAAGGGCATTACAGTCAATACTATCTATCATCCTGTTTACAAAAAACAAATTGAATTAAACCCAGATAACAAAGTACATTTACTGTGCTAAAATTCATTTTAAATTTATGATAACTCTGAAATTGGTTTATTAAAATGATTCACCGCAGACAGCGCTCTTTATGACAAAATAATTAACATAATCACAAATGTCATATTCTCTAAACCATGTAAGTCTTTGAAGCTCTAGTTAATTAATAATAAGATACCCTAAAACATTTATCCCCTTAAGCGTTGATCACTTACGAGAGATGCTTTTCATACATACATGAGTAGAATTACATTCTGAAATTATTATCACGTATGCCATGTTACATAGACGACTATGTAGAATCTACATTGTAGATCCTAATATAGATACATTATGATCGTACATAGGTACACACAAAGGTACATACACTGTATGTATACGATATAGTATATTTATTCCCGGTGTAGTTTCAGTTCTCTAACTAAATAAATAATTTTATACTTTTAGATTAACATACGATGTGTGTTCAAAAAGTACCCGGAATTACTAATAATTAAATTTCGCGGGTCTGGAGTGTCTGATTGTCAAAATTTTTTTTTTATTGTGTTGGTATACATGCCCCTAAAGTACGATGAAATTTTCAGCTATATTCACTGTTTACTTTGTCTGTGGTAGTCGCTAAGGTTCGACGTGTTTTTCTGAGCTCGGCGATTTTTACAATGGAAGAATTGAAAAGTCAAAGAATTTGTATTAAATTTTGCGTAAAAAATGAAATAAAGTGTTGCAAAGTGCAAAAATTCACCAGATATGGCTCCGTGTGACTTTTTCCTATTCCCAAAGTTGAAGAGACCCATGAAAGGACGGCGGTTTTCCTCGATTGAAGAAAATCGCTGAGAGTGCTCAAGGACATATCAAAAAGTGAATATCAAGGGTGCTTCGAAAATTGGAAAAAACGCTGGCATAAGTGTATTATATCTGGGGGGGACTACTTTGAAGGGGACCACATTAATGTAGACGAATAAATAAATATTTTTTTGAAAAAACGAAAATTCCGGGTACTTTTTGAACAGACCTCGTATAAACTGTCTCTGAATAACATTATGAATGAGTTCGAATATTTATTTTATTCTGGGTTTTAAGAAAAAAAAATCACTGATTTGTTTGTGGCAAAACTTGCCCTTCTACATGTTTATTTTAAGAAAATAATGGGACAACTGCGAATAACACTCAAAACTAAAAAAAATAATAAATCGAAGTAGTTAGTAATTTTTAGTAATTTTTCAAAACCACAGACCATTAGTTTCACAGTTTAAAATATGTAAACAAATTTTTAATAATAAATAATTGATTTCAATTCGGATAATAATAAAATCAGTTCAATAAAATCTGTAAGCAATGATACACGAAGACAAATGCCGATAATTAAATTATTGGCGTTTCCAATAGACATATAACCTATTTCTCTAAGAATATTATTAATTCGAAATATTCGTAAATTATGAAAATAAATATTAATTTATATATAGTGCAAACTCGAGTATATTTCGACTATAATTACACGGTTTCGCGATTATTTGAACTACATATTAATATTACATTACCAGTAGAATTCATTGTTCATCGACATATCATAGCTCGAAAATTACCAAATAAAAAAGATCAAATATTTTAAAAGAATTAATTATGATTTAGTAAATACACATTCTTTTCAATAAAGATTCATTTGTTTTCTATTTCTGATTTCGTTATTTCTTATACATATTAAAAATTCTGACGAGTAACTAGTACACGTTTCAGACAAATGGGATGATATAGCTTCTAAAGCTTTTTTAACAGTTTTTTTTAAGAAAACACTCTGATGCAGAAAGTTTAGTCGAATGCCATTGAATTTACATTAAAAAATATTAATTTTCAATTGAGTAAAATTAGTTTAAGTAACTAAGTAAAATAACAAATGTAATCGGTAGGATCTGAATTTCTGAAGATAATAACTCCATTAGTATAAATTTTGTATTTTCTTTCGATACATCAACATAATTACTGCTACTGGAAACCTTCGATCACTCACGGAAATCAGCCCAACTGACTTATTATGAAACATATATATGTGTATATTTCTATATGATTTAGGTTATGTTCTCAAACGATAATATTATATTAGCAGTCCAATAAATCACATATTTGTACAAGGGGTGAATATTTTTCAAAACAAACGAGATCAATGTAAATATTGTTTCGTTCATCATATAAGCACATTAATGATCAAATTCGTATGACCATGAGCTTCAAAAAGTAAAAAAAATCTACTTACATTGAACGATGTATGCACCAAGTTCTGCAGCTAAATCAAATGATACCGGCAATCTTCCACGTAAGATATCTTGCTTGACTTGCAGGAATAACTGATATCTGAAAGAAAAGTATGGTTGTAGTAATTCTGTCATATTTAAATAATTTATTAAAATTGAAAATAGAATTAATATGCTATTTATATACTTTTCATTTTGTTAAGGATGGGGGTTGGTTAGACCCTTTCGGAATAGCTTATCGTATTTGATTCAACAGCTATTCCGAGGATTTGGTATAATTGAATATATTAAGAAAAAAACTCGATGTTCTCTGCTTTGTCGGCGGCCCAGTCGGAAGGCGGCTTGAAGTCCGGAATTCTCAGATCGCTTGGAATTGGACGCTGAGGAAGAAATTAACTCCAAGAACACAAATAAGGAACACTGGCTGCGACTAATAATGTATTTATTTACTAAAATAATATCTAATTCTCCGAAATATACCACAAAACTTTTTTTTTTTTTTTTTTTTTTATTTCCATCTAAATTACAACTGCCTGAGAAGGCATTCAGTAATTGTTGTGATTAGTTATTAAATAAGTTTTTAAAATACTACCCATTGGTAGTATTTTAAGTTAGTATAATAAATATGAATATATGACAATAATTGCAAGCTGATAATAAATATAAATATGTGAGAATAATTACAAGCACTATACTAGATATATAACTATGCTAAGTCTAGTGGATCTAATCTTTTTAGTCTCTTGACAGTGTTCGCAGAAAGTAGGTCCTTTGCTAGTTCATTTGGATGGTTCTCCAATCTTGACTTATAATTTCACAAAACTAATACGGAAAACACAAGTAAAACGTCGTACGTGACAAGCGAGACAGCGAGAGCTCATAAACGCTCATGATTAGCGTTTATATCCAAAATCTTTTTCTTTCGGGATTGTCAGAGACTAAAACATTGTCTGATTCGGACAAATGTCGTCTGGCGCCATCTAACGTCGTTCTGGCGCAAACACATTTTATGAATATCTTTATAATATACTTTTTGTTGTCCTAAAATAAAGAAAAGTCAAATATGTATCCATTAGGTTATAATATTGCTATTTTTTCTATTATTAGTTTATTAGTATTTTGAACAGCAATCAGAACTTAAGAGTTCTATAAGCTGTTGTTATGATTTGACTTAATACTGTACTAGATTTCTACAGATGTCAACCCAAACAATTGTCCTATCATCGAACTCAGGACCTCTGATTCAGGCCCAGTTATTCTAGCCACTTACCTACGAGCGAATCCATATTGGTAAATGATTTTCTTATTTACTATTCCGGAAATTTACACTACAATGATCCACTGCATTTAATATTCATATAAAAGGTCTTTTTATTTTAGATCGAATCGATTTTGATATTATCCAAAAAATAATAATAGCTATAATAACAAATTTAATTTTAACTAAGCTGGATAACTTTTGTGTTGTTGACTAAATTGTGTTCGCTTAATTGAATTTGTTATTCACAATAGATATAGATCATCATCAATCTATCAAATTCTGTACGACATTTATAATTATATCAACTGATACAACTAATAAATTTCATACGATTCGCTTTTAATATTATTCTTTGTTTAAATATTTGGTCAATGTAAAATAATTGGTTCCGAGCTCATCATCAAAGCCTGGACAGCGTTCGTGCATTTTTGCATCGGAACATAATTAAAAAAATTTAATTGCGAAAGGGATAAAAAATAATTGCAAATTACATTTAATATGTGCACATTTCGACTCGTCGATATTGCCGCGCGAATTGGATGCAACGAACAATTATTAATTTTGCCCGACGCGGATTGAATAGCTAATATAGCTTGTAGCTAAAACACTTGCAGCCGTCAGAATCACACACTCGTTGCGGAGGAGTTAGTAAGAGTCAAATGAACGAAAACAATTGATTCAATCCCGGCGAAGCAATTTCAGCTCCCGAACGGCGGCACCTCGACAGAATGCAATATGCATAATCTGCAGGCGACAGCACCAATTGGCTCGGAACGCAGGGAATCGAATACAAAATTGTTTTAGTTTCCACTGAGATGCGCGTAACATATAACTTGTCAAAATTCATAATAACTGCCGCAAATTGTTATAATACGTTTGCTTCCCTTTACGGGGCCAGAAATGCGATATAATTAGGATATCAATAAAACGTAAAATTTAACAAAAGATTGTCTTACGACTAATAAAATGTTATTGTATATAATTATTGATAAATTTTTATATTATACTCTAATTATAAATATTTTGAAAAACATTTGACTATTATCCTGCCTCATTACTATCATGCCAATTATGTGATATTTCGTCCAGCAGCCTAAATGCAAGTCATTTCGTGTTTATTTTTCCATACAGTAATACATAGCTTAACGCGGAGGATAAGGGAAAGTCCCGTAACGCCGGACGGCACCAAGCACCGGACACTCTATTTAACTCGTGCCTGTGACGCACACGGCCACGGCGAGAGCAACCCTTTCCTGTTTTAGGAGCAAAATCACGGCGTCACCTAAATATCAATGGAAGTAATTCTAGTGTATTTATGCATTTATATTTGAGTGGCATTCAATGATAAAAGTAGTACTTGATTGCTATCCGTGAAATGGTAGAATATTATTAGATATTTTAACCAATTTTAGTAGGTGCAACCAAATGAACGAAAATGTGTGTTTCTTAGCACCGGACACTAAGTCGTCCCATAGTGCCGGACAGTAAACATATTGATATTTCTTGTGAGAATTTACGTAATTTATTTCAATTATTTAATTTTGTTCTGTATGAGTGCTAACGGTCACTACATACCCCCCATTTTTCGTATTTCCTAGTCAAAGAATGAAAAGCTTAGTGAATGCAACAGCTGAGAACATCGGTGTGGCCCAGCCAAAAGGGTGGATAAATAGTGACTTTTTTTGCAATATCTAAGAATATTCATCAAAGACACATGTGCAAACATTCCAGAGCGTGAAGATGGCTACATATGTAATCAATGCAGGTTATTTTGAAATGTCCGGTCTAGGTGCCACTGTTTAAAATCTTCTTTTTTGATAGCAAAGTTTGATTGATAGTATTAATTATTTTTTAGCAAAGATTGCGGTTTTGTTAATTTAGTTTGATTTCTAACTTTATTATCTAACATAAATCATAATTTAATAAACATTTCGTAAAATATTAATTTTTTGATTTATTTATAAATAACCTTAGGTGTCCGCCACTTGGGGACTTCCCCCTACGTTCCATAAAAGTTGAGCTCAATGCGAAACAGGGCTAAATGAGGCTATCTTTACATGGAAATGTTGGTATTAAATTCTAAAAGTATGTTTTTTTTTAATAAAAATGAAACCAAACATTAATTTCTTAAAGCCCAAATTAATACTACGTTATTATTTCTTGCAAAAATAAAAACAAAATATAAATTAAAAACAAATATTCTTGAAAAAACAAAGTCAGCCATAATTAGACTTCCGCGTTTTCAGTGTTCTGCTTTTTTGTGACAAAAGCATCTAATGCTGTTTGCCTTTTTGTTTTGCGTTGTTTTCTTAAAAGTTCTTCATAAACGGGTAGAGCATCTCTTATAAAACGCCCTGCTTTTGAGCTTCTGTCAAAATTCTGATCATTTTCAATGAATTGATCCATTATTAGACAAACTTCTTTTTATAAACGCAATCGAAAGTTCTTTTTGCTCTTCCTCTGAATCCCGGCTGTCAACTTCTTCTTGTTCAGTTATTTCCTTGATGAGCTTACCATTAAAAAAACTGCCTGCTTTTTGAATTATTTCTTTGACATCTGTCATATTTCAACCTGGGTTTCCCTTCAAAACCTTGGTTGAAATAGGAGAGCGCTAAACCGAAACAGCGCTAAACGAAACGGCGTTAAACAGGGTATTACTGTATATACTACGAAATATCGAGGGGATACCAAAAATGATTCAAAGATTTACTATGCAATTCAGAGATTATGTGATAATTTGAAAATATTTAGTATTTAAAAAAAACCGCTTCATAATCGAAAGGGTCCGTTTCGAATAACTTGATATACACCAGAAATGATATCTATTCACACTTGAAAATAGAGACCAAAATATGTTTTCAAGTCAAGTTAGCTGTTTCCTTCGAAATACCATAAGAACAACGTCAATCAGGATTGAACTAAATATTGTAGGTAAATAAGTATTGAAGTATAGTTTATTGTAATCTCTATTTTTCCTGCTATCACATGCAAAAATCAACATCATTTATTTAAATAATAATAAAATCTGAAAACTACATGGTGTTATTTACATAGTATATAACGGATTGTATGAAATATGATCCGTGAATAAACGTGCATTTTTAAACAAATTTTAAATATTTTTAATTTTTCACTCTAGCTGAACTTGATAAAACGCCAAACCATTTGTTATATAAAAATATGAAAATTTTACTTGTAGTTGAAATAAATGCGATTGATTCGTAGAGCGAATCATGTATGTCTTCAATAAAAACGTTAGATATTTTAATGATAAGCATTAATTGTAGCTAACAGACCAAGTTTTAGTAAATAGAAATACACATAGTGTTAAAATCTCTGAATAAAATCCAATGATCTAATAAAATAAGTTTACATAAACTATATAGCTACTCAAGTCGTTAATTTTTTACTCAGAAATGATCCCTTCAGAAACAGTTCAACCCGCCTCAACCAATAATCAATGAATGCTCGACAAATTGTCAATATGAGACGAATCTATTTTCTGAATTGGTTGAGTTGTGCTTCCCTAAATAAAACCCATGTTTAATTAGCAATAAAATTTGTAAGATTTTTTATTTAGAAACTATTAAAAAGTAACATCTTAAATTTTATATGTAACTAGATTGTATACCATTTTAAATTATTGCGTTCTATTCTACGTAAATCATTGCGACAATCGAAATTTAAAATTTAAATTAACTTCTTAATTAACATACCGATTTGATTTATAAATGTATCAATTAATAAAATGTGTCGCGTATTAATCTAATGCCACGAAATGTGTTGTTATTCGAAATAAACAATAAGCGTGGGCTAAATTCTGTATAATTCGGCCCGGA